ACCAACTTAATTTGAACACTTTTAGGTGCGTCATGTAGTGATGGACCAGTTCCTGATCTTTGTTGGACGGGACAGGGTCACCACTCCCTTGTATTTTGGGATTTGTGTATTTTAATGGGATTTATGGATATTTACCGTAAAGTACAAGTATTACCAACTTAATTTCAACACTTTTATGTGCATCTTGTAGTGATGGACCAGTTCCTGCTTTTGTTGGACGGGGCGGAGTTGCCACTCCCTTGTACATGTATGTCGGGATTTGTGTATTTTAAAGTCATTTATTGATATTTACGGTAAAGTACAAGTACTAACAACTTAATTTAAACACTTTTAGGTGCGTCTTGTAGTGATGGACCAGTTCCTGCTTTTGTTGGACGGGGCGGAGTCGCCACTCCCTTGTACATGTATATTGGGATTTGTGTATTTTAATGTCATTTATTGATATTTACGGTAAAGTACAAGTTCTAACAACTTAATTTGAACACTTTTAGGTGCGTCTTGTAGTGACGGACCAGTTCCTGATCTTTGTTGGACGGGACAGGGTCACCACTCCCTTGTATATCGGGATTTGTGTATTTTAATGGGATTTATGGATATTTACCGTAAAGTACAAGTATTACCAACTTAATTTGAACACTTTTAGGTGCGTCTTGTAGTGATGGACCAGTTCCTGCTTTTGTTGGACAGGGCGGAGTCGCCACTCCCTTGTACATGTATATCGGGATTTGTGTATTTTAAAGTCATTTATTGATATTTACGGTAAAGTACAAGTACTAACAACTTTATTTGAACACTTTTAGGTGCATCTTGTAGTCACGGATGCTTGTGTTAGAGAAAGTTAGTTGATGTCATGTACATGTAGCTATAATTTTGACTGTTTTATCATAGATTGGCTACAGGCAAGGACAGCCTCAGCCTGACATGTGTTAATCATATGATTGTTGACTGTTGAGTTGGGGGACTACTGTTTGTTATCCATTGTACCTGTAGAATGGACACAATGCAGTATCAGTAAGCCTTTTGTAATACATGTACATATAATACCGTATGGCTGGTAATTTTTTGGGTCATATATTTCGCGAAATCTACTAACAATCCAATTCGCAGATATTAATTTCGTGAATTCTACCACTTGTACCATGCAGGTACCGTGTTAAATTAATTTC